ATTGAGGCCGTGTGGCGGTGGCGATGTCCCTCAGTAAGAATAATGTCTCCCACGTCTAATCTCCATTCCGATGGTGCGAATAGCGTCGTCAGAGGAAGTGTGAAGGTGTGTCTCCATTGGATCTCGTGGGATTCGGTCGGTGTTGGTCTTTGATAGATCTATTAATTTAAACCCATCTTTGTTCATCTTCGTTCGTGTGGTTACAGGTTTGATCTTTCTGATCTACAACTATTTTCATCGCTGATGGTTGCTGCTCTGGTACGCTGGTCATTCGGGGCATTAGCACGACGACTTCCCGACTATCTAGTACAACAAGATTTGTCTGGCTCCGATGAGGGAGGGGCCATGACGGCAGCACGTCTTCGGCACGTCTCCAGTACTTGTAGTCGTCGCTACATGGTCCCTGGACCTGGTTGTAATTTTTATTATCTCTTGTGTTTTCTACTATCACGATTGATAAATAGATTGGGAATTTCTCTCGCAAAAGAGAATACCAACGAAATGCAACGTGCTATAACTACACATTCCACCTTGTACGGTGGCATCCAGCGGAAAAGGTAAAAAGTTGTTCGTTCCACCCAGAAAAAAAAGTGTCATCGTTGCATGCCCAGCAATGCGATATTCCTCGATCTACATCTTCGCGCCAAGCTACAGAGACCCGTCCCACGGAGGGCCGACAGATCTCCACCCATGCACGCATGAATCCACGGCCAGTACATCGTATCCTCCACCTCCGTCCTCGCCCCGTCGCAACACAACACAGCACGTCGCGATCATCACGGACGACGACACACCGTCAGCGAGCCCCCCGGCCCCCGTCAATCATCGTCGACTCCCGCGCGGCACGGCCGAAGCGCCGGTGGCGTTCAAATATCCCGACAGGCGGGATCGGCGGACCGGCCGGGCCTCGTACGCGCGCGCGTGAGCACGTACGTACGTCCGCTGCCGCATGCATGCATGCGTCCGTCCGTCCGTCCGTCGACGAGAGGGAGAGGCCTTGCATGCATGCTACCCCGCCACCAGGAAACAGCCCCGGATCTGGCTTCTTCCCGCGCAGTGCATGTGCATGATTGCTACACCACCACCACCACCGGCACCGGCAGCGGCAGAGATCTCGTCGTGTTTGTACCGACCCGGTCGCCGTTGGCCAACCCCGGCTTGGCCGTTTCCCGGCTGGTTTTTCACCCTTGTAGCTAGCCAAGCCAGGCCAGGCCAGCCAGCAATGGCTTCTAACTTTCCCTGCGCCGTCCGTCCCGTCCCCATCGACGCCACTGTTCGTCCGCTGCGGCGCCAGCGCCGCCGACGACGACGCGTGCCGACCGGACGCACGTACGTACATCGCGTCGGAACGCCGATCTGTCGAACGTGCGTAGCGTACGTACGTTGGCACTGTGAAGTCTGTAGCTGCGGCGCGGCTGGCAGATTTAAACTACTGTGCGGTGCAGGTAAATGCGAGATCCCGGCAGGGTACGCAACGCCTGTGACGCGGAACAGAGGCTGTACGCGGAAGAGGCCGGGCTACCGGCTACGTACGCGCGCGCCAGGTGCCCCCATCGGCCCATCATCCCCCCACCCCGTTGCAATTGAAGCGCCATTGGCCTGGCTCGTGCCTCGTGCCTCGTGCTCGTGGACCTGCCGTCGCCAACGCCCAAACCATCGGCGCCCGGCCGGTGGTGGCCAGCACAGCAGGGCCATCACGTAGTACGCACCGGCCAGGAATCACGCAGGGAATGTACGCCGTGGCGGTGGCAATTAACACTGCACCCGCGCACGTCTCCCCGCCTGCAGCAAGTCTTTAACCGTTTCATTCCTTCCGTTGCAGTCTGCAGAGACGGGTTCAGGGCCAGCCAGTGTGGGCATGCATTCATGTTTTTTCACCTCATCTAGACAGCGACCGGCGTCGACGGCGACAAGGGGGAGGCGCAGGCGGCGTGCGGCCGGACGACGATTAGTTGCCGAGATGCGGCGCTACCGCTGGGTCGGTCGGTGGGGCGGGCGCGACAGGGGCTCGCTGATGGCAGGAACCGGACACGGGAACGGCCAACGCAACGCAACGCAACGAGCCCGCCCGCCTGCTGCCTGCATGCGGCGTAGCTACATGGAGGCCCACGTACTACTTGCTGGCCTGGCCCGGCACTGGGCTACTGGTCGTGGAGCCGTGGTAGGGGAAGGAGGAGGGACGCGTGACGCCGGCGACCAAGACACCATGATTCATTCACTCACCAGATAGTCTTTTCTTTTTCTTTTTTGCGTTAGTCACCTCATGGATCCGATCTTGCTAGCTAGCTATCTACTACTGGTGGCGGCTTGGATCAATCATCATGGCCGGGTTTACCTACCCCTACGGCTTCGGCGAGTCAGGATTGGCCTGGATTTACAGCTGGGTCATAAACATGTCTGAGCCAGCGTCAACCATGTCTTCTGCCCAGCCGGAAACTTGGCTGCGAGAACTCGTTCCCCCGTACGGTAGCGATCGATGTCGATGATCGGTCGCATAATTCGCAATCTATGGCAGCAGATTCTGCCATCTATTCCACGATTTTCTGACAGTAAATCAAGGATCTAAACCTCAGGCACGACAAGGATTTGATCACATTTCTCTTCATTCCCACCTTTCATTGCACATATTGATTTCACACAAGAAGTGAGAAGAAGATCATAAACCTACACTACGGTTTTCGATACATAAGTGGCTCTGGGTACTCGAGTGCGCACCGCAATTCCCGACAGAGGAAGCACACCATACTTCACCATACAGGATCTCAACCACAAAACTAGGTTGATCCAACGCAGGATACAGGAACGCCATCGAGCGTGTAATCGATCCCGACCCCGCACCCAAAGAACCATCTGTCACAAAACACTTTGAAGGTGTTTCGCAACGTGCATTACCGCGGACACTAAATATTCACAAAATCCCTACCGGACGGTCACACGCTGTGCAATGCGCTGTATCCGCGTTTCTTTTACCACAGGTCCATTTCTCACTGCCCTACACTTAAACTGATGGTGGCCAACTAGGCCAAGTGCAGCGGCAGATCATTGAAGGACAGCGACAGCAGAGGCAAACCATGGACTGCTGGTAGACAGTAACTCTACTGCAGCTCCACAAGGGAGTATGTCCACCATGTTCCTCAACATCTCTACCGTTACGATCCAGTTGACCCCCCAGTATGGTAAATGATACTCTAGTGTCATGCACAGACAGGCATCTCAGTATGGAATCTGCTACGTACAAGATATTGAAAAGAAGAAGAGAAGTCAAATGACACAGGAATCAGGATCAAGATTTAGCTGTGGTAAACTTGAGTGCACCCTGATTCAAGTGAACTAAATGCGGTGAGAGAGACTAGGGTCAGTCAACAAAGAATTGAGAAATCCAGGTCGGCGCCCTCAGTTCTTCATCCAATGGTTTAACAGAAACAACACACACAGATCAGGTGGATTTTTAAACCTGGGTAAACAAAGCAAAAAAAATCTTGAGCCTTACTGGATGGTAAACTTGAGTACACTCTGACTCAAGTGACACAGGAAGCAGGATCAAGATTTAGATGTGGTAAACTTGAGTACACTCTGATTCAAGTGAACCAAATGGGGTGAAAAGGAACAATGAAATCTCAGTCCACCCCACAAGTTTTCATCCGACGGTTTAACAGGAACACACACACAAAAAAAAACAAGTGGATTGTTAAACCTAGATTAAAAAATCTTGAGCCTTATTGGATGGTAAGCTTTGCCTGACTGAGATTTAAGAACTTCTTAGTCGACTTAGCATTAGCAAATCCGATAAATATAGTGCTTGACCATGAAGGAAGGTGCACAGATATGGTAATGTAGGTGCCTAGGTGGGTCTATTTAGTTTCTATTTTCATTAAGAAATCTCGGTCGACATCCTGAGTTCTTCATCCAACAGTTCAACACAGAAACACACACACACACACACATGGATTTTTTAAACCTAGATAAAAAACAAATCTTGAACCTTATTGGATGGTAAGCTTGGCTGACTGAGGTTTAATAATTTCTCAGTCAGATTTGGCATTAGCAAATCCGACAAAATGGTGCTTGACTATGAAGGTAGGTGCACAGAGATGGCAATGTAGGTGGCGCAGGTGGATCTCAGTTTCTGTTTTTGGAGATGAACTTCAAATGCAGGTTTGTGAATGCATATACATATCGAAAAGTCAGATTGCACTACAGTATTCAACAGCAAGAGGTTTCATTTACGGGTCTAGCAGGCTGATATAGGGCCATCAGTGCTACTCTTAGTTCTCACTAACCCTAACATATAGATTATGCTCCAAATCAAATGGTAAAGGGTAATGCACTTGTAAGGAAACAGGCATCCCTTATGCTCTACATTTGATCCCATAAATTACTGAACTAGTGTTGGAATCTTGAAAAGAAGATCATTTATTTATCATTGATTCTTCAACGGGTGACGAATAAAGGATTGGGTAGACAAGCACAGTTGCAATCAAGGATCATGACATAATAGTAGACATCACAGAAAAGGGAAATAAAATGGAACAACATATAATGTCGACAAAATTTATAACTCATCAGAACAAATATAAACTGTTCTGTATCTCAGCCGATCCGTTTTAGGATCATTTTCATTCACCGCCTCAATGATCAGAGCAGCCCTTGCCCAAAGTTCATTGGAAACTGAATATGGAACCGAAATACAAAAACAGGGCAATAGAGCTCTCATCTCTACAACATGCAACTTCCTTGCTCCATCTCTGCCTACACTAGCATGCATCTCTGGACACTAACAGCTTAGCATGCCCCTTACATATGTCGATTGCATGAACAGGCTCGCGGCGAACTGTTTGTTTTTATGGGTCAAGTATTGACTATGGTGTTTTTGTTCCTTCCAGCAACTACTTGACCACACTATAGTTCTCGAGTGACCAAACTGAATTGAGATGTTTGAAACAACAAAACGGCCAAAACGGTGAGCAACACACCTGAAGCACAGCACGACATGAGACCGGTCATCTGCCAATTCTCCTCCTTTTGCTTGCCGAAGAGGCTTGGTAGCATGTTGCTGGAGATCCAACAGCAGTATCATCACTCTGTTGGCTGAGACATGCAGCAGCATCCAACACGCCTATCGGGCTTTGCGGCACAGAGAACATTGATGATCCAGCTGACTTTAGGACAATGGTTCCCATTGCTATCTTGTCTTGAATCAGTTCGTAGCATCTTAACACTCGCTCCTACAAGACATAAGAGGTATTTAGGCAAATGAAGTAACAATTCAAGCGCATCATTGCATTTACAGGTTACCATTTAGTGAGGGGCAAGTGGTTTAGTAAGTGAGAACATTGAGCTGATCACTACCTTGTTTATGTACTTGCAGGTAGTTGTAGCCCGCTCGACTACTGAAGTATTGCGCTCCCCAAATGCGGCAAGTGCAACACTTGCAGCAATCTCTGAAGGTCTGAACACCAAAAAATCAGCTCCTGCAATCCAAATTCTCAAACTTTAAGAATTGATCGCCGCCAAATTATACACATTGATCAATGCATACCAAAAATGAGATCTGGTTTAACACATTGATCGATGAATACTAAAAAGGAGATCTGGTTTAACACATTGATCGATGAATACTAAAAAAGAGATTTGATTTACTACATTGATCGATGAATACTAAAAAAGAGGGGTCTGATTTAACTCTCATACCTTTAGCAGTGCTCAGGATGAGGTCGGTCGAGCGGGAGAATGCGAGCATGGAGGGTGCGTCATGATCATTGAATTTGCGCAGGAAGTAGTCAATAAATGAGCAAGCAGTAACAGCTTGCATCCTCCATTTTAAGGTGCTGAGCACCAAAAGCTCCATCCTTTTTATGGTCCTTCCCTCAAACGCAGAAGTTGCCTCAACCACCTGTCAAGCGAAAACCGTCGATTAATTGAGATGAAACTGAAAGACGGAACCCTTCAACGATGCGTGTATGCAGAGGTCTGTGATAAGATGAGATGCATCACTCACTGACCTGCAGGTCGACAGGGAGCGGCACATAGGTCTCCTCCATCTTCGAAGCGAGGGACAGGCAAGCCACTGCCAAGAGCTGTGTGACCCAAGCTTTGCCTTCCTGCCATGAGAAACCAATTCCTCCATGATTACGGGATTTTTAGCAGGGTTTGCTTCAGTTGGCACTGAGATGACGATGGTGATAAGACTTACAGGAAGGGGATAGACCGAGAAGAACCTATCAAGGTAGTTGACAGACAGGACCGCAGTCAACGGCGCGAAATTGAAATGCTCAATGACCTATGAGCAGAGAATTTGCAGATTTAATCAGCTATCGCATCGGGGCGGCACCATCGAGCACCAATCCAACGAGAAATCGCCACTAGAACGGGTGAAAAAAAGGCATCTTTACACGAATCCGGCCCATCACATCTCGGCGCCGCGCCATCGGCACGAGTAAACGGCGATTGGAATCAAATCAAGATGCGGGGGGTCTCACCTTCCAAATCCAATCTACGGCGTCCCTCCTGACGGCGGCCAAATCCAGGGCCCCGGCCCGGCGCTGCAGCATCTGGGGGTACCCGTCCGCGGGCATGTGCTCCTTCTCCGTCGCGACGAGCGCCGCCACGCACTCGTCGGACTGCACGGGGTGGTCCACCAGGAACCCCTCCGCCGCGGCGGCGGCATCGGCGGCGACGCGCGGCGGGGTGGTGGCCCCCGCCCCCGCCGCCGCCCAGGAGCAGTCGTCCTCGTCGTCGTCGAGGCCGAGGATGGCGGCGTTGTCCTCGGCGCAGAGCAGCACGGAGGCGGCGCAGTCGTACCCGGACGGAACCATGCCGGCTCCTCCCGAGAATGGCAGGAATGCTGGGTTAATGAGCAATCAATAAACCGATGCGAACTGATTTATCTATCTATCTATCTATCTATCCACGCCGCACCCCTCGTCTCTCCCTGCGAATTTACTCCCCGGTTGCTCCTCCTCCTCCTCCCCCTCCAATCTCCCTCCCCGGTTCTTGATCCGTCAATCAAAGGGATAAACGAAAAGGATAAACTAAACTATATATTTTTTTTCCTTTTTCCGCCTGCTGCGTTCTTCTTCTGCTCAAGTGGAGACGAGATGAGGAGCGGAGGGGGAGGAGGGCGGAGGGGGGGGGAGGAGGGTCTGCCTGCCCACTGTAGAAGCGGGGAGCGAGAGTGGGGGAGAAGGGCGAGGGTTTTGGCTTTGTAGGGCGCGGCCTCCGGGACGGGACGGGGAGGCGGGGGGAGCCGGCCGCCATTTCGGGGGCGACGCGGGGGGGCGGGCGCAAAACCGCACGCGACTTCCTGGCGGAGTTGTTTTGTTTTTGGCATTTTCCTGGGGGCGCGGATCCTTTGCGGCCACGACACTCGCTCGGATTTCGCGTGCGCCGTGTCGCTCGCTGCGTCTGTTTCCTTTCTTATTATCTCCTCTGCTCCTAGACTAGCCTCTGTTCTAGGTTAGTAACATGATGAATGTGGTACGTGGCGATGTGTTTCTTGGCTTGTTTGCTTTGCGAAACAAACATGGGAAGAAACATCGTTTTGTGATCTCGGGGGTCTTTCCACGTAGTTGTTGCATGGAGATTTTTATGGTGATTGTGTTTTTATGCTTTCTTTCTTGCTCGTTGTAATAAATGGATGCAGGCGGGGGCCTGATATTTCACAAGATTTGGGTGCCAAAATTAGCCTCTGCTTTTTTTTTGGTGTGCTAAAAAAAATTAGTTTGTGATCTTCATGACTCGGTCGCTACAGAATTTCTTTCGTGGCAAATCCTCTCGTAAGGAACTGGCACTTCGAAAACCAACATTGCGCACGTCACGATAGATGAGGAGGCGCGTTCGTGGACGCCGGATGGTAGGAGTTGCGCTCGCCTTTTGGATTTCTTCCTTCGGTCGCCTAGGCCGGTGCGGCGATTATGAGTGGCGCGAGTGACGCCCGCTCTCTTGGAGGCATTTTGCACGTTCCCAACGAACGTCGGAAAGGTCGGAACCGACACCTCCACTGGTCCGATGAGCTCCGTCATCCAGACCATTGTGTGCATGAGTATCGTCAAAAGGACTACGATACAGACATATATTGTTTTGGGAGGGGTACTTTTTATCTCATCACTTTCTTCTCTCTCCTCTTGTTTCCCTTGAGAGTTGCCTGGCGGCCTGGGTAATCTCAGCTCCTCTCCCTCCTCGCCTCCGGTGGTTCCGTTGCGCGGATTGAAGTTGAGAGAGCGGCTTCTCCCTAAGAATAATAGGTCTAGGGTGTGTATTGCCACTATGGAGCTTGACACTATGACGGTCTTGAGCTCCCCACTGGCATGAGCAGATATCGAGCGGTGATCTTCTCATCTTCCATGGCTTTTGGTGGGGAGCGGATCTGACGAGGGCTCTCCCAATAAGCCTTGCACTACACTAGATCAAGCCGAACAAGATGTTGCTCCTTTTTCCCTATATCGTCATGGTGACGAGAAGGTTTTCGGTGGGCCGTGCTTGCTTGGCCATCTTTTATGGTATTAGGTATTGTCGGGTCTACCTCCGGTGAAGGTCTTGGAGCATAAGGTACAACTGCTCCATCCCGAGTTTATTACCAGTGTGTTCGAGCACAAGCTACGACACTCGTTGATCTAGTCTTTTCCTTTGAGAATATCGGTTCCCAGCAGTTGGTTGTTGGTCTCAACCGCTCCACCACCGGCTTTTCCAGCCGAAGGACGGCCGCTTGCCGCTCAGAGTGCTGACATTCATCTTCCTTGGCTCATGATATTCTTCCCATCTATGATGCCAATAGGGAGGCAGTTCGACTTCGGCTCCAATATCTGCACCCTCTGCTTCCTCCAATACTTCGTGATGGAGGCAGGGGCACAATGATCTTCTCGCCCCAAGTGGTTCTTCCCCGGAGGCGATGGATGTGTCTTGAAGCAGAAGCACATCGTGGAAGAAGGGCTACATTGCAATTTTGTGTTTTTCTCCAGAGCCCTTATTGCCAAAATGTGAGTTATTTAGCAGAGCTGTCGATAGAAGGTGAGTCCACGATATCGTTGTTCAGCTCAAGGCTTCATGGCAAGCAGTAGACCTTGAATCGGACATTCAAACATCCAACTTTTATCCTCGAAGAAGACGTGTAATTTATGGTATAATTTTATAAAACGTGCTCTAGTAAAAAAACAGAACCTAGACAAGAATCCCTTCACACATCTCGATCATAAACCCACAATTTGTACGACAATTAAAGATTGTTATTAACCACATAATATTTCAATTATTGTCATATAACAAGCGATCATACACATTTGGTAAAATCTATACGACGAAACTTTTAAGTTGTTACTTCATCACTTCACACATCTTGATCATAAAACCACAATTTATGACACTGACAAGACGATTACTGAATTTAACTACGCTGAGAAATAGTATCCACTTAAACTTTTCATCACTAGTAGGGTCCACCGTCGTGCTCACTTCGTCAAAGTTTTCTGTATTATGAAACAAGGTTGGATGATGCGCGTCGGCAATCCCATCGAGTAAAAGATCCGCCGACTTACTTAAAGTAGATCCGCTTATCGTCCAGCCTTATTTCATAATAAAGAAAACCCAAAGATTATGTACAAGAAATGTTAAAAGTATATTTGTTGTTATGACAGTCCCTGGTCATAGTGTTTTTCTTTTGTGGGGAACAAAAAATTGATCATGGGTAGCCATGTGTTTGCAGAACTGTTGTTTACAGTGCATCTATATCCAAGCAGCTGTGCCTTAGTGTTGTTGCTAAAGAAGACGAAGGGATTTGGACATGTACTTGGGCACAAGCCAATGTGGATGCTGTCATCGAGCAATGCTGGCACTCTTGGCCAGATTCCAATCTCCGGGGTATCAACCGCCCCCCACTACATCTTGTGTATATGTTCACATTTCCTGCAAGTGTTTGCTAGAGGACGTAGATTGTTGAATTCTTGTTAGCACTTCCTTTGTTTTGGTTCCTCATAATTTGAGTCTATTTTGACTTAATTTAACTAAGAAAATATAAAGAACTGTGTATATACTTTTTGAAGGAGGCTCGTATGTGAGGATCCACAGATTGGAAGAAGCGCAGACCCCTCTCTGCAAAAGGTCAGAGGGCTTTATCTGAAAAAAAAGAACTGAAATTGACATGCGAGATTCGCAGATTTGCCGAACTGCAGGCCCCTCCCTGTGAAAAGTCAGAGGGAGGACTACGTTTGATTAACTCTAATTGCCATGCGTGGTTCCACGAATCCGGAGAAAAGCAGGGCCCTCGCTGCAAATTGTATGAAACTAGATATCGAATCATAAAATAAAATCGTATGGACTAGATACGAGACCCGGAGAACCCCGAGCCCCTGGGCGCAAAAGGGGCGGGGAGGAGTACACGTAGGAAAGCGCCTCGGTGGCACGACCCGGCCCATATGCCATGTGGCAGGCGGCCACCACCCCGGCAATTTTCCATCAGCGGCAGGCGCTGGCGCCAAGGGAGATGCGGCCAAGGCGTGGGGAGGGGCAGTTCGGGCATTGCGCAGGCCATGTGGGACGACGGGATGGGGCCGGGGGCGGTGGCACGGAAGGGGGTAGTTCGGCCATTGCGCGCGCCATGTGAGGGTGACCATGTGGGGCAGCGGACGCGTCCGGGTGGTGGGGCCCGTGGGGGAGGGGCAGTTCCGTCTTTCCGCGCGCGGCTCGGCTGCTGCCTGCCTGTGCTCCTGCGGCCGCATGCCTGCAAAGCGTACCGAACACAGGCACGGGCACGGCCTCCGCTAGTCCAGCAGCGCGGCACGGTTGCTTTCTGGCGGTCAAACCTGACGTGAACCGAGGAGTAACTTCGCGCCGTGGCGGGGAACGGAGCGACGCCGTGAAAGGGGCGTCCCTTTCGCCGAGGGGTCGCGCCGCGCGCTGCTGCGTCCTGGCGCATCCGATCCGGTGGTTCGGGCCAATTTTTGTTGGGCGCGTACCGGGTGCACCGTGAGTATGGTGCGATCTTTATTTTATTTTTCCGAGCGCTGCTATACACACGATCCTTTTCAGCCGATGCTCGCACGATCTGGCAAATCCGAACCATCCATGCGTGTAAACAAAACGAAGCTCGCCCATCAGATTGTCCATCGTCTCTACCTCGGGCATATAGTATCGTGCGTCCAGTAGTTTCGTTTTTTCCCCGGGGTAAATCAGAGAGCTTTATCAGCTAAGATGCCAGTCACTAGGAAGATAAGAGTTTCATCAAGCCAGCTCTCGGTCACATTCAAAATGTGAGCATGCTTCACACAAAGATGCGTATGTATGCATTTTTTTATACATATAGCTTATTGCTACTAGGTGTTGGTGTGTACATGTGTACTTCACTGTCAAAAGTTAGCAAAAACTGACGATGCTCATATGCATACTTCCGCATTTCCCGTATCTATGTCCGGAAATTCGATCTCAAACACATATTTTTGGGGTTATACATCGATAAAAGCTACAAATTTTGTCTATTTGGATATGTTTCGTACCAAATTCACAATATGGCAGAAAAAGATTGATACAAAACTCTCACACATAAAAAAAACATCTACCGACTCATTTACTACTGCAAAATTTCGTATTTAATAGGCTAATAGGGTACTACTAAATATTCGTACCCAGGGATAAAGGCCGCATTCTCGCAAGGTTTGGTCTCCGCCGTGCCTTAAACCTTTCTATCAAAACATCGCGCACACCTTGAAATATTACCTACCCCTATCACTCTTCATACCTAAATACACATATGTCAATTAGACCTTTATATTTGTAGTTATTATCTTTGATGGAATTTTCATAATTGCATCTAAATGTATCACGTCCA